TATATATATATATATATATATATATATATATATATATATATATATTGAAATAGATTAATGTATATATGCATAAACAAATATAAAGTTCTTGTTGTAGGTTTTGGTTCTTTGTTAAAAACAAAAATTAAAGAGATTACAGTTTTTCTAAAACTACAGCCACTAAAAAACGCAGCATATGTGATAGAAGCACAGCAGCAGTGTTTGTTTTGCCATTTTTACACGAACCTGGTAATAAGGCATGTCTGTACATTAAAAAAACAAGAATAATTATTAATCCATGTTTATTTTCAAATCAACACTTTAACGTTCACTTGTATCTAAGGAAGGCTGGGGAGGTAAAAAAAGATTAAGGGGTGGAATTAGGATAAGTTACAGCTCATGATCCATCAGAGCATCTCTGACACCTCGGCCCTGCTCTCCATCTTGCGGGACAGCGACCAGGATGGGCTGTGCGGCTGGTTCTGCTTCAAGTTCATGTAGGTCATCCATTTTGGTTGTGTGTTGTTTTCCAGCTCTTCTTCTAATGCATGTTAGTGGTGCTTAGAAAAGAGCTTAATGTAGCACTACCGCCACCAGCTGGTAAGGTGCATTGATATTAATAATCCGCCCACTAGAGGTGAACAATCCGCCCACTAAACGGGAACTATAGGCAAAGGTGAGACACAAAAATAGAGGTCCCACTAGAACCGGACACAACAGGCTACAACAAGAACCAGACCTGTGGATAAGGGGCTTATGTGGCCCTGTGATGGACTTGCGACCCGTCCAGGGTGTACCCCGCCCCTCACACAGTGATTGCTGGACATGGGCACCAGCGACCCCCGTGACCCAAAATGGAATAAGCGGGTAAAGATAATGGATGGATGGATGGATGACTTGCTTTGATTCTACTTGGCCGGATTGTCAATGTGACTGCCTATAAATTCTGGGGTGGTATTTTCTAACCAAGGTAAACACAACACAGCACAGCAATGGGTTAATAAGTTAAATAAAATCGCATAACAATCTCCATTGCATGCCACAATTTCCAAAAGACCATGGTCAAGTCAAGGTCATCAACCCTTTGCCAGTAAGAGCCCATAAATTGAGATCATTTGGTCTAGCATCCTCTGAATTCTGTTGTCGGCCAACTATCACAGAAAGGTCTGTACCTCCTCAAAGTACCACAGTGAGAAAGTCTGTACAGTGGAGAAAAACAAATGCTGTGGTGAGTTTTTCAAAATGGTGGGATTGATTACAAAAAAGTCCATGCTCAATAATCCAGGTATACAATCCAGTGGGTTTGATTCTTGTGAAGGAGATGCTCTCATATTTGTCTCTGACCAATCAATGGCCTGCAGTCTGCTGATGTCAAATCTTCAGCTCAACTCGACTCTCTTGGAACCTCAGAATAGATCCTAAGAACAGAACTGGAAGTGAGTGGGATAACCCAGTGGAAAGACTGAAGAGATGCCGAATTGATACAAGAAGGACAGAGTCAAGCTCATGGAAAAAGGCAAAGTTGTCTTTGATTTTGTTTGTGGAGTTCATTGAAAATCTCATGGCACAGTTGCTATGTCTGGTTTTGTAGACTCGGGGTCTCATTTCTGCTTTGTTGCAGATGATGTTGTTCTGTTGACGTTTTTCAAGTCATGAGCTTCAGTGTGCACTGAGGCAGTTCGCAGTTGAGTGTGAAGTTGTTGGGAAAGGAGTCAGTTAATCTAAATCTGGAACCATGGCTATACTGTAAACTAGAACTGAAAAAGTATAAAATTCAAATAAAATAGAACTTTGTCTAGGGAGGAAAAGTTCAATAATGAAAGTCTTGTTTATATGTGATGACTGACTAAAACGGCCGCATCAGCAGTAATGAGGGTGCTGCTCTGGTCTCTTGTGGTGAATTCTGTGATGAGATGAGAAGAAAGCTTTCAATATACTGGTCTATCTACATTCTAGCGCTCACCTATAGTCATGAGATAGTGAATGTGACAGAACAGGATCCTGGATACAAGAAATTACCTTCCACCATAGGGTGGCTGGGCTCAACCTTAGAAATATGATGAGAAGCTTGGTCATCCAGGAGAAGCTTGGAGTGGAGCTGCTTGTCTATACAAACTGTTACAAACCCAGACACCACAACTGTGCTTGATGGGCTACAGTCCATTGCATTGAAAGGAGTCAACTGAAGCAGTTCAGGCATCTGACAGATTTTTCCTGTGCACCATTCTCTGGAGGGTTTTTTCAGAGATGTTTCACTGAGAGGAGATCCTGAGC